GGGGGGGGCTTATTGAAGAAGACAGACCTGAATAAGACTCCACAGGTGAAATGCTTTTTCTTCTTTTAACTTTTTAGCCTGGAATTATTCTCAGCTTTTCCTGTAGAACTGTAATACAAAGTACAAGCAGCTTTCTTTATGAATGTTGAAATGCTATGCATTCCACAATCAGTGTGTTTTGCAGCATGTTGTAAAGCAGGCATTACATATGACAAACACAATGTCAGTAAATCATGGGATTACTGCAACAAGTAGAATCACCCAGGGCCCCATTGCTGTGATGCAGCCAAAATAACCACTGTGCCACCAGGTGCTATTTGTGTGGAGTTTGCATGTTCCCTCCGTGCTCTTGGGTTTCTTCTGGGTGCTCCAGTTTCCTCCCATGGTCCAAAGACATCCTGGCAGGTTAATTAGCTGGGATGGGCTCCAGTTTCCCCACAGCTCCAGCACAACTGAGTTGTAACGGCTCCATCATAACTGTACTGGATAAAGTGTAGTAATAATGGATAGCAGAATCACTATGCATTGCCCCCTACAGGAGAGCTTGGCTGTGACAGGGGAGATACACTGCAGGCATTCACAGCCCAATCTCTGACTCTTGTGAAGCAAGCATGTGTGACATAAATGTAATTATATTTGTGTCTGTCATGAGGTGGCCTGTCTACGATCGGGCTTCTCTGAAAAGTATTGCAGAGGGTAGAGTTGAAGTCTGTATGAAAAACCGATAGTGAGTTTTTGGATCCGTTGGAAATCAGTTTTTAAACTTTCTGTCATCTGCAGTTCTGGCTGAAATCACCTCACTGGTAACGCGCCTAAGTGGTTCGGAATGCTGCACAAAGCTGCCAGCCGCAGTGACACTCAGTGGCTGCTGGCACAAGCCAGCTGTTCACCTCTCTGGTCTTCCGACTGTATCTGAGTGGCATTGCTTCTGTAGACGGACACTCAGCCACGGCTGCACTGCACAGCTTTTAGAAACATCCCCTGGGACGGATCACTGTGGATCTGTGTCTGCTGTCCCTGATCTCTTTTCTCATGCTGTAGGTGCATGTGAAAACTTTTACTTTTGTAGACATTCCTAAACCAGTTAGATTTAAAGGTGTTTTGGCATGCAGGAATGGATGTGAGCATCCCTCGTAGTGTGTGTGTTTTCCTGCAGACGTCTCCTGCGTGGGACAGTAGTCGTATTGTTCTGCCATGCTAGATGGAACCCGGTCTGTCTGCTGGGGTTTGAGTGGGGTGGCAGTGGGGGGGGGGGGTGAGTCACTTGACAGAATCATTGTTTGGACATCAACAGGCCTGTCGCTAGGCAACCCATCCCAGCCATCACTCACACGTCCCGGCTTGTAAATCCACACCGATTAGCTCCCGGGCGTGTGTTGTTCTGTGCACATGTCATAGGAACACGCTGCTCGTCTCAATTCCCCGTCCTCTGATACTCTCCCAGACAGCGCCTGCTGATCGGGCACTGCAAGCGGTGAGTTCAGGAGCCCCGCCTGTTCAGAGGAGGACCTGTGTGTCTGTTTTCCTGGTGGTAGAGAGCGTGGCAGCACACAGCAATCTGTTCACAAATAAAACTAAAACATGAAGATTGGTGGCAAACGAGAAAGCATGCTCTGCAGACATTTTGTCCATTTTTGATTTTTTTTCTACAGCCCATGCACTTATAACAAAGTGTTAGCCGGTGCTAGGCAGTCCGCCCTCTCTGGCTAATTCCTCCTTTAGCTCCAAGGCACCCAACTCTTGCATTTGCCTTTGTTGACAGAAGCAGTGCTGCCATCCCTTCCGAAAGCACCCTCGCTCCTCACAGGAAGTCGTGACGTAAGCGCCCTGAGTCGGGGCTGGAGCTCGAGAGGAGGTGGTCCTGGAGGCTGGGGGGTTGCTAGTGAGCAGGCTGGGGTTGGGCGACAGACAGACAGAAGCTCCAAGCCACAAGACATTCTCTGCAGGGCACTGACACCCACATCAAAGCCCGCTCGCAGTCTGCACGCTAATTCCACCGCAGTTTTCCAGGCTGTTAGGAATTAGTTTCGGATCGGGAAAGGGGGGGCCAGGCTGTGTGGGCCAGTTCGCATACTGCTTCTTTGGCACAAACAGGGGGCAGAGCAAGTTGGAGTGGCGCGATAGGGGGTATTGACTGCACAACGGGCAAAAATGTTGACATGTCAGGCAAAGCTCGTGTCTGCACCATCGCACAGACAAAATCAGTTTGTGAGTGTGATTGGACGTACTGTGGGAGGTAGCAGTATGAAAGGCCAGGCTGCTACTGACTGCGCCTGGCTGCTCTTGGCTTCAGGTATCCTGGTAACATCAGCTGTCGTGTTGTAAATGTCTGAAGAGCAGGCAAGGATACAAGTGTGACTGGTGGTGAGAGTGTGTGTATAATTCCTATGCTCTGCGGGCTGTTGTGAAAGTGCACTGTAGTAAAATGCCCAAGTTACTCCCCATAGCCCGAACGGATCAGGAATCTTCTAGGAACTGAACGTCAATGTGAACGTGTGCTCTTGCCGTCTCTGTTTGCGGATCCAGCAAAGGAAGAAGTCTCTAAAACTGAGTGACTATGGAGGAGCACAGAGCTCTAGTTAGGTCTCCTCCCAGGGCAGTGGGGTGAAGGGATAAGGGGAATCTGGTGACCCTGCAGACACTTCTCCTAAATCAGACCCTCTCAGTTGCTCGCAGGCAGACAGATAAGCGAAGTGTTGAAGAGCCACCAGCCAGACTGCCCTTGAATGGGCTGGCACCCCTGCTGAACCAGGTTTTGAAGTGTAGGAGAAGGAGGGGTGGTGGCTAGGAGGTGGTTCGAAAATAAGAGACAGAGATTGATTCAGATTCAAAGAGCCTCTTTGGCAAGACCAATGAATTTCGGTGTTGCCAAAGCAGATACAATTAGCACAACGTTCAGGCTTACTGTTCCTCAGGCTGGCATAGGAGATCACATAGTACTGCAGCTGCGTTGGGTTTCCTCCCCCAGTCACAGGACTGGAAACTGTTCAGATTCTGGCGGGAGTGGGAATTCTGGGATTAGATCCATTACTTTGGGGAAGAATTTTTGCTCACAGTGTGGCAGAAAATGCAGCCCTTGTTTTCTGCCTGTTGGCAGTGTGAGCACGTTAAAGAGGAGATGGATCTAAACTCATCACACAAGCTAGCAGAGAGGTCCGGCCATGAAGGACAGTCAGAGCCTCTCCACCCGTCTGTAATATCTTTCTTCACACCTGCCACAGTTCAGCTGCCTCCAGGTTCCTCTGTATAAGCTGTCTTTTCTGTCCTTTGAGTAGAGCAACACTGAACAATTTTTATCCGCGTGAATCCTGCCCCCAAGTTTTCTGTATAATAGGATATTTTCCTTTTCATGTCTGGCTGCTTGCTTGTGTCAGATTTTTTTAGTCGACAACTAAACAGTTTCTGAATGCTGGGTTTTGGCTACAGGGATGCCTTACATCTCTTGATCTGCTTGGACTCTCTCCTCCTAGTTCGCCGGAATCTTGGTCCCAGCAGTGCAATTATAGTTTCTCTCCATGCCGAGCATGTGTTCTCAGAAATATGTGGAGCCCAAGCCAGAGAGTGACTGCTGAAGCAGTTGCTGTGTTGTGTCCTGCTCTGTGACAGGAAAGTAAAGACCTTTCTCGCCCAGAAAAAAGTCAATGGGAGTTTTTCGTTTGAACGTATCGCACTTAGAAAAAAACAAGTTCTGCTCTGTTGAAGCTGAGCAGGTATTGGCCATATGCCTATGGCTGCGAAATGAGGGAGGGTTTGGAGGACAGCTGCTGATTCACCGTACGGCAAAGCAGGACTGTGTGGCAAGCGAGAGATCCGCTGTGCTGGCCCCCAGGTCTGGCCCCGCACAATTTACACCATCAGCTACAGCACAACTTTGATATCGATCTGGGTAAGCAATACAGTGAAGTGCCTGACAACTAAATGGAGGCAAAAATCCAAATTGAGATACTCTGCTGCCCTGTTGCCATTAATGTGCAAAGAAAGTTTGATGTGTCGTATCCCTCACCCGGCCACGATCTTACTGAAATGGGACTCAGACTCAAAACTTCCACTGCTGGCTATCCCAGCTGGGAGTCATCTCGGAAACCCATGATCCTTGAGTCCGGAAACTCTGGGTGAGGGAGGGTCGTGGATATGTCTGTGTTATCTGGGGGGGCATGCGTCACTATCAACGCGGGCAGTAAATGTCTCCACAAGCACAGGAGGTCCTGGTCTATCAGGTGATGTGCAGACATCCCAACAATGGAAGTAACTTTATTTATAAACCACATGGTATACGATAAGATCACTTTATTGGCCATATACAATTTCTTGTATTAGGAATTTGTCTTTTCAAGTACTCCAACTTGCTCTCCATGAGACACACAGACAGGGAGAGAAGCTGGGGGTCAGAGCGCAGGGTCAGCCGGTGTACAGCGCCCCTGGAGCAGTTGGGGTTAAGGGCCTTGCTCAGGGGCCCAACAGAGTAGGATTCCTCTGCCGGCTGCGGGATACAAACCAGCAACCTTCCAGCCACAGGCAC